GACGTTGGAGTTAGAAAATAGAACAGCCTTATTATAACATATTTGCACGAGCTCTTTTGCTCATATGTTTTCGCGAGGGATGATTTAAATCTTTAAAAATACACAGGGGTGTATTTAAAAGTATCTAGAAAAGCTTTATAACACGAGCTTTTATTTATGTGCTTTAAAATCAAATTACCTATAAAATTCGACCGAGAAATTATAAATTAGTCATTTCGACCACCTTTGGTAGTGTCATGTAGACTTTTTATGCAAATGTTACAGCAGCACTCTGTTTATACGAACTTAGATTTATTTATTCGAAGTTTTCAGTTACTTATTTCAACCTGAATTCTTTATCACACGTAGGAGAAATTGTTAGTAAAGAAAGGAATTGGTGAACCAGTCCAATTATATAATATAAATTGTATTTGCCCGGCAACGAGTTTACTTAAATGGAACTTTATTGTTGCACTAATATTTCTAAGTGTTATACATAAATACATAAAAAGGAATGGAATTCAAACGCAGACTCGTTTCACTTGGTAAACATTTGAACGAGTGCTTCTGTTTCCTGTATATTTTTGTGTGTTGTATGAATTTCATATGTTTATTGCTTTGACTTCAAATTTTTATGAATGCACGAAACTCTCGAAGTCGAATAATTGTTTCAAGTTAGAAATGTCAGAATCTCTATAACTCAGACTCTCTATCTTAAAAACGCGTTACGAAATCTAGCGAATGATACAACTCTCTTGTGTAGATTCTGTTTCGTTATTTTTGTATTCGTAAAAACATAAATTTGCATAAACATCCGTAGTCTCGATATAAGGCAGTCATAAATTAAAGCTTCAAGAGCTGCACCTAAGATTATAGAGGAAATGTAAATCTTTTATTAAAGCCACCTTTCACTTCTTATTCAATACACAACAATTGCTAGTCGATATTTTCGAAAATTAGATTGCAGATTTTCATGCAAATTTATTTTTCATACCGTACGATATTTTTTTCACATCGTATGTATTTTACAAATTTGAATTTTATCATACGGAATTGTAAAATGCATAAAAATCTGCAATTTAAACGCATCGAAAACATTAATATTCCTTGTTAGTTTATTAACTTCTTAGAAAGTTAACTTGGCTTACAATTAGTAAGATTTCATAAGCCGTCTAACTCTTTACTAATTAAAGACAAACATTTCAATTTTTACACGAAATTATATTTTTTAATATTAGAGTTCTGAAAGGGAAGTTTAATAATTAATAATAATGAAAGAAAATTTGTATTAATTTCAATAATTTTTTATCGTTACATCTATCACTTAAAATCTACGATTCTATAAAATTTCAAGAAATTGAAATATCTATTTATTAATTATTCTCTGGTCCTCGATGAGTTTGGAAATTTATAGGAATTATAACTTTCTAAACAAAAATTATAAAAAAAATACTATACAATTGCCAACGATAGAACAGAATGTATCCAATCCGATATAACTGGAAAGGAAGTGATTCTACATACTTATAAAACTTATAGAAATAATTTTTTTCAAATTCGATTCTCTTGAAAACGGAGCATCATATAAGAAAAATTTTATTCTACATTTTTGACTTGTCCTTCCACATGGAATAATCTCTTGTTAAATATTCTCTTCTTTCAAAGTTTAGAATTGACCAAAATCAAATATACTTGACAAGTTTTCAAGCTCAGTTTCCTTCGAAAACAACGTCCTCGAAATGGAAAAAAAAAAAAATTTTTTTCTTGTTATTTATTACATCAGAGATCGGAAACACCCTGTGTGTCGTTGCCACTTGCGTGTAATACATTGAAACAAAGTCGATTCGATATTCGTAGATCGAGAACATCAGCAGCGTGACGAGCGAGATGTCGGGTGTAGCGATGTGTCCTTACTCGCCACACGCGAACGTAACCGCGTTATTAGCCAGAGGACCAACAGGCGGCCTGTTCACCGGGGCGCCGACCGATTTTTCCGGCGCGGATCCAGCCATATGCAGGACGCTCGCCTCGCCGAATCTTCGCACTCACCAGTACGATTCCAGGTGAGTCGAGTTCTGCCGAAAAAAATCCCGGCGATAAAATCACAAAAAATCCCTGTCATCTCACACCTTTACATCTTACGCTTTCAGATGGCTGAACGATCCGCAGTTCGTCGGCAGCTTCGAAACCGAGGATCACGTGTACTTTTTGTTTCGCGAGTCGGCCGTCGAGTACATCAACTGCGGCAAGGTAACGCGTTCTCAACGATCGATCGTTCGTATGAGAAGAGATATTTCGTGGAACAAAAATTCCCGATTGATCGCCATTCTAACATAGCAACGAAGAGAGATTTTTGTCCATGAATTGTATTTCTTTTTTTTTTTTTTTTTTCAAGTTTTGTGATCAGACCGAAGGAAATTAAGTCAAAATTAATTATCTTGAGTGGGAAGTGTAGTTCGAATTACAGTAAAATTCCGCTTACATAAATTTATTGACGAACAAATTTAGAACTGGGGGTTCGTATAATAAGAGCCTATTAAATTCTTTACTACTAGTGATTCTTCATTCATATAATAGGAGTTCAAGTTCAGATAAATATTCATTTAATTTGACTAGCTAAAATAAAATAAATGATTCGAATAAATATTGGTTCAAACAAATGGAGTTCACATAAACGGAGTTCTTTAATGCAAAAGTTTGATAGCGACTCATGTCTTTTGAGAAACTTAGTCGATAAATAATGAAAAGTGACATCGGTGCCTTTACCGCTCATTTTTCTCATTTTTCCAATTAATTACACATTTGTAAAACGAGAAGAAAGAATTTTCTTTCCGGTAAGTCGAGCGAATAATTTATCTAAAAGACAAACAGATACTATACGAGTCATAGAGTTTGTTTTTTTTTTTTTTGTTTTTCCTAGAAAAACGACAAGAAACATAGGATCACTTTCATAATTCTTTTTTGACAATGTAAATTGTCGAATAGTCTAATATTACTCTAGAAGCCAATGAATTTTTTTATTGATTATCTCTAACCACGAAGTACCGTTTTCCAAGCCACATTCGCCGATCGTGTCTCGCCATTCTCCTCCATCATGTAGCATCATCCTGCTTTCAGAAAATCTACTCGAGAATAGCGAGGCTGTGTAAGAATGACCGCGGTGGTCAAATTATGATGAGAGAGGTCTGGACGACGTTTAGCAAGGCGCGATTAAATTGCTCTCTACCTGGCGAGTTTCCTTTCTACTACGACGAGATTCAGGGCGCGGTCTATCATCCGGAAGAAGGCATCGTTTACGCGACGTTCACCACGCCCATGTAAGTACAAGCTTGTCTCGCGAATGCGTTATACTTTGTACAGCATCACGCGTATCGTCTCATATTCGTTTAATCATTTCTCCTTCATGTCTGCGCCACTACTCGTTCGCTCGCGAAGGGACACGTGAAAAATGGTACGTACAATTCCTCCGAGATTTCTGTCCGAATGAAGAAGGGTCTACTGTGTTGAAGAGGAATTTATTATTATTTTTTTTTTTTT